ATGTTGCTCTTGACTCAGCCAGGCGGAATGGCCACCCCTCGCAGGCCCTAGGGGCTAGGCCTCCTACGCCTTGTACAGAGGCATTCGGTGGACTCCCAAGTCACACCCGACTTGGAAAATGTCCGATGCATGGTAAACCAATACTACTGATTGTATCTTTCATTTCACAAGTAAAGATATGTCTGACTTGCTGTTTATTGACTACCCTTTCATCCAATACCACTTTCCACGATGGGGATGCATTGCCCCTTGAAATTGTACATGTTCCCAACATGTTTTTTCCAGTTCATTGTGAATTTTCCCAATCCAAGGTCCAAGGGGAACATGGGCCTTTTGAGGCCAACGGCTTGTTCAACTGCTACCCCTTTTTGATTCTAAGGTATGCTCAAATGTACCACATCAACGCCCCTAACTCGCATGAAAAGATGCCACGTTCTGGATACAATCTTGCTCAATAGGTCTCCCAATACACTTCACACTTCAGATGGCATTGCCAAGAAATTCAAGTAGTGCTCCTTGATGGCCTGCCAACCCCTTCACACATTTATTCCTATTCAGCAGCGGCAGGACCGCTGTTCATATCACCAAAGACATGGGAACTTCTTACTATCAATTGCCAGCCAACAGCGCCCCCCCCAAAATATCTAATTCAATGATATGGTAGCCAGTGACACAACATTTCTATGGCCTATAACTTTCTCAGTTTTTGTCCAAATCTGTCCCTATTTTCCCATTGAACTTATGTCGGTTAGCTGCATATCCTGGCAGAATTTTGATAGCGTAACATCCATATTCCCTACTAGTTTTTACCTAAAACTATGTCCCGACTGTTCGCCATTTCTGCAACAAAACGTGTCATATTTTGGCCAAATTTTGACAGCGTGTCTCCCAATTTCGGGTTTTCACAACTCTAACAGTCCCACAAGTGCCCAATTTTATAGAGCAAGTGATGCAAACCATATTTCGGTCTCCATCTCTTATTTGCAAGTTGATCTGGCCAGTGCCTTGAATTATAGCTGCCTATTCCAACCCTTAGAAATATGTATTTCACTCTGTTTTCTCGCATGACGCCTTCTACATGCCTTGCCACTTTCTTAGATCGAGGCAGGTTTATCAGCGTGCTTTCCTTGCTTTTTTAGTAATGTTGTGTGGCTGTCCATATCAATGCTGATTGGTCTACGGTGTTGTGACACCCAGTCAGTCGCCATGTGCCAGTCATGAGCCAGTCATTGGGTGACATGGCTTTATGACTAATAGCAAATTTGACACTAGTTAAAGTTGTAGCACCTAAGGGTGGGCCCCTAACGTACTTGAGGATGAGATGCTATCGATACGGGTACATTCAATACATAGTTCTATCAATTGTGTACCGCTGCATGCAGGGGTCATGTGACCGACCCCGCACAACAACTTGTAATTCCATCCTTGCCCACTCGCCTCTCAGTGGCTACACCCGCAGGCTGCAAAGCACCGCGCACACCCACTGTGTGTATGGCCACCCCGCGCCCAGCCAATTTGCAGGCCTGGGCCCACACTGCGTATCCAAAGACCCGAGCGCCCCGGAAAGCCTACTGGCCATCCGGCGGAGGGGGGCCCGCGGCCCCATCAGGCGCCTCGGCAGGCGCATCGCCCACGAACCAACCGGAAACCATGCCATCAGTTGTTTGATGGCCGCTCTGTGCGCTCCTGTCCATGCAATGGCAGGTGCCTTTAATGGAGTCAAGGGTTCCAGAACTACAAAAGATTCTACAAATCTAATACCACCGCTTGATATTCTTACAATCCTAGCAACATAATTATTATCACAAATCCAAGTTCATTGCAAGATTAACCTAGCAACGGGTTTAGCAATGACACAACCACTCTTTTCGTGGATGGCCCATAGGGCAGCTTGCCAAAAAATAACTTTTTGCTCCTTCGAAATTCCCTTCAATTCATCTCTGATAGTTGAATTGGCCTCTTGCACTTTCTTTTGGATGACCTCAGTAATCAATACCTCCATTTTCACCAGACTAGTTTTATTTATTAGCCAACAACATTCTCTCTCTGCCTGGCCCTTGGTTGCACCAACCCTAGCCTTGAACTTTTCTTCTTCTTAGGTAGTTTAATTGTCGGTGTTATTAAACACTAGAGCATCGGCAAGTTGCTTTTGTTTCCCCACTTCGTTGCTTGTCTAGTTGGCATAACGTCAATATTTGGGTATGCAGGTTGGCTAACAACACGTCCAGCCACCTTGACTTACCACTTGTGCCTACCTTTATATTTTCCTTGAGATTTCTTGTTCGTTTAGTGAAAAATTTTTGGTACTAGATGTGGGCTTTGGCAAAAAAAATTTAGAATAGAAATGGGAGCGGTGTCCATTCCCACTCATAGAATCGTCTCGGTCCCATCCCTATTCCTCTCCATTCTACTTTGTCACTGGGCCATTCCCTAGGCACAGATTTGGAGTGAATTTGAGTCGGGCAGGAGCAAGGTTAGAATCGGTCTGTTTCTGTCATATAATGGGTTTGTTTCTTTCAAGAAATGGATTCCATTCCAACAAGAATAGATAACAAAGAACAAAGAAGGTTTGCAATGACCAGGTACCACTAGCAATCAAATACAATTCCTATTGGTTTAGCACACATCATGGAAAGGAGAGGTGCCGAAACAAGAGGCACATTGTAGCCAATCTTCCCAACAACAGCGCCACATACAATAGGAACTGATGGCTCAGGCATGTGCCCACGCAATGGCGTAAGGGGCACAAACACTGCTTGGACACGTTGTTTATTTTCAGTGGGTGGCTTGCCACAGGGCTACTTCCCATCGTGTCAAATTCAAAACGGGAGCAGGGCAAATATTGCCCGCTCACAACGATTCTAAAGGGCAAGGGAGCCTTGGGCATTTCCCTCCCTCTATTCTGGGCCACGTTGCCCTCCCCTCCCCGCACTCTTTTGGTAACTCAACCAAAGTATTTGCGCTACACCATGAGTGACCAGCAAGCCAAGGCGTTGCCGGCAATTGAACATGGGTCGACGGGTGGAGCGCCCAACGTGGTGGCCATTTCACCACAGCGCCAAATTCACATGCGATTCTAGCAGCGATTTCTAATAAGCGAGGGACCTTTGGCCGTATCCGCCCCTATTTTGATCCAAGTTGGCCTCCCTACTCTCCCTTCATTGATTGCCCAACTTTGTGACCACCCAGCTTCCGTTGGGCCCAATTCACAGGAAAAGAGGGGGCAGATCGTCGCCCACCTGCAGTGATTCTGGCGAGCGAGAGGCCGCTAGCTCTCTCCCAGCCCCCTATTTTGGCTCACTTTGCCCGCCCTCCCCGACCCCCCTTTTGTGACCGCCCAGCATCGTGGTCGAATAGGCTTCATTAGGCTAGCTTCAAAATCGATAGGGCAGACAGGGACAGGAACAGGGATCGCCGGCCCCCCCGCAACGATTCTGGCGAGCAGAGGGACCATGGCTGTCTCCCATTCCTTTGCTTTAGTGCTTTTGCCCTCCCCTTCCCCGCCCCCTCCCCCTTGTTGACCGTTTGGGGCAGGAGGCGCCTGGCCGTCCAGCTCTCACCCTTTTCCGTCACCTCCCCCATTCCTCTCAATTGGCATTTTGAGCGCCAATTTCGCAGGCCGGGTGAGGTTGTATCGCCTCACCACACCAACCTCTGCCTCCATATGCCTCTCCCACCCGTCCTTGCGCTTGCTACCAGTGGTGGGCACCAGCAGCGCCTCCCCAGGAGGGGACAGCGATATGTGGTGGTGGGAAGGTTGGGGACTATATGACACACTTGGGAGCACCCATCATTAATTGACAAGTGTAGGACAGGTGCTCTCGAGTGCATGATACAATTCTGATTGGTCCATGTGTGTCATTGCCGGACAGGAACGTAGCTGGACTGCCAACTCCTTCCTAGTGGGCTCCCTGAGATATTCTTTTAGTCTTCTGGTTGTCAGCTTTCAAGGTTGCTCTAGGGAACATGCAAACACATTTTGCTGAGAAAATTTGTTGTTGTACTTATTGATGATGAGCCCACGAAATCACCTGACAGCTGTAGTGGGAGTTTTTTTGTCGTGTCTATTGATATACAGCAGCCGAATTTTCACTGGCAGTAGCAAAAAATCTGCCAGCTATGTAGGGGAGGCAGGATATCGGACAGCTAGCGTCTGGATCACGGCGGATAAGAGGCTAGAGGTCCCCTAGTGCGTTTGTTGGGGGGGGGGGTGCTGCATATTATTCCCTTCACCCTCGTTAGCCCCACCTCCCTGAGCCGAAGACAACTGTAAGCGCATTATGTTTACAGCCAAGGCCTGGCCAAACAGTGACAGAAAGTAAAGAAAGCATCACGGTACAGAGTTATCCAGTTGCTTGAACGGCTGTATCAATGGTGACAATAGTTAAAGGGCGGGGACTTTCGCCAAGTCCCTGCATGGCAGCGATTGTCTACACTCTGACCCTGCATCAGCACTTCGTTTATGTCAAGACCCAAACACCCATGATAGTTATGATCCTCAGTAACAAGCAACTCCATTTTGACCAACACAGCGATACCACCTGCATTGGAATCCCCCATTGCCTCTCTTGGTTCTCAGTAGTCCCGCTGCACGAGTATGTCCATTCATGGGTTTGCACCCATCAAAAAGCTTCACTTTGTGTTGAAACACAGCGTTTGACAACCTTTAAATCGATCCAGTGCACGTCGTTGCACCGAGCAATGCGGACTGGCCATGTGGGTTGTCGCAGCACATAGAAACTGCCCTGTCAGCGCACCGATTCCATTGAACAGGATGGGCCACCACAGCCGCCAGAAAACCGTAAACACGTTTAGATGATGAATATGCTTCGACCGTTTTTGTCCACTGCAAGCACTACAAGGGGTAGGTTGCCAACACCCCTTTAAAAGTTGCACCATGAACAAACGGCCTTCAAAAGCGTGTCTACGCCAATTGAAAACCACAAAAAGCTGCACGCAGTCATTCATCGTTCGGTGCCTGCGTCAATCGTCTTTCTGCGTCAATCGTCTTCCAATTCCACATCCTCGTATTCATCCTCCTCTTCCTCCATGCCAGCCCCCTCCAGTCCAAACATGCTCTTGACCTTTTCAAAGAAGAGCCGTCCGCTCTCTTCCCAATCCTCATCTGATGACTCGCCGTCGTTTGCCACTCCATCCGCCACATGCTCCCTTTGCTGGCCTCCGTCGTTCTGGCTGTCAAAAGAATCTTCATCGGTAAGGTCTGCCATGAGGCTTCTTAACAGCACTTCGCGCATCGCATCCTTAACATCCACACGCAGCACTCAGTACTGATGTTCACTCCAACGACACGCTCCCCCTCCGTGAAACTGCTGCTGGCAGCCCATTCATGCAGAAGGGCGTTGCTGCCAAATAAGGGAGGGAAACCGGCAGCCATTGGGACAAAGACCCCATTCAACTAACACTGCCCATGCACGCAACACCGCATGTGATGAAGGCTCCTTCTGGCCATGTGTTGTCCAGGACTATCCATGGGCTCAAGTCACTTGCTATGTTGAGTTTGCACAATGCACCTTGTCACAAAAGGCTTGGTGATAAACCGATTCGGCGGCATTCTAAGCTGTCCCTGATAGCCCATTTCCAGTTGTTGGAATCCCTCGTGTGGAACAGTTTCATGGGGCTTAGGGACATAGAATCTGATGGTTCAAAACCGAACAGCAAACATCAGTGCTTCACAGCTGCAGCTGGGCCAGCTGCAGACACTTACATGAACATTGTTGCTGTGAGGACGCAGCATGTGCACAAGGAGTTATGACATACATGGTGTACATGGTGCATATGACGGTGGAGACGATGGCACTGTATCACGGAACATGACTTAGTGTCCAATGCAACACTGCGTATTCGACCTAGAGCGTATTGTGCAGGCCATCTTCTAGAGTCTGTCTCCTGTACCCAGTACGATCGTGGTGATAAAGTGCCAAGCGCTGACCAGTGTTGTTTGCCATGATAGTCGCCATGCTCCCAATATTGGTAAATAATCAGCCACACCAGAGGCCAGACAATATACATGGCCAAACCAAATGCACATTGCTGTACTGTATGTATCAGCAGCAAAACAACACAAAAAGTGGGAGGAGATGCTTGGATGTACAGCAATGATGTGTGACATCTTCATTGCAGATGGACACTGTTATTATCAGCTTCGATCGAAGGGCCATAATGAAGCCAGTGACTTGTGTGCTGTGGTAATTATTACTGCCTCCATCCAAGATTAATTGTCCTGTATGACTTTGGGGCATTACTTCTCCATTCCACCGACATCCTTGCGGAGTATACTGTGAAAAATTCAAGTGAATCCATTAAATACTGAGAATTTGGCAGTACTTTGTATCAATGGTCGTTCACCTAGTAAACCTTGGTATTTGGGGTATAAATGAACAAAAGGTACCTTTTGCCTAATGCTTAAACGGGTCATGTCTCATTTTTCTTCTTGAAAATTGGTGCTTAAGGGTCTTGGAAACCAATCTTTCCGATTTTGAACTTGTTTTGTAATTGTGAGGCCATCATTGGTACATATTTTCTCTTTCAAATAGAGGACAATTCATCTTGAACAGAGGAAGTGCATATCTGCAAAAATTGTTCATGACCAACATTTCACAAGACTCACAAGAGAATTCCAGATACTCTCATCCCCTCTGGGCATATTTGCACTATTTCTTCCCTCTGCCCTCTGTCTGGACGGTCTCTCTTGTCTGTTTAATAATACAAGGCTTTGCCTCACCAACCCAAAAGCAAGACTCTACACCATGCTGATTGCTGTTCAATTTCTTGTCCATGAGGGCCCCCAAGGGTGAATAACGTTCATGGTGAAGATAGCAGGCATGACATTGTGTACAACTGGACAGGCACTTATGCAGCGCAATTGCTATTGCATCATCATGCTCATCTGACAACGCCAATGCAAACTCACCACATCTTCGATGCCTAGGCCTTCGACTTCATTGGTTAATTGGGCAACACTCTCCAGGAGACGCTTCTTCAGCAACGATCGAAAATTCTTCATTCCCTCCTTGCTCACTTCAGTGAGGCTCACCCTGTTGTTCCATTCAGAACTCATTGTGCTTGGCTGAAACTGGCACACACTGTGAAACCCTTTGGGTTATGCCTGTGCAACAAATGTTCTGTGAAGTGACAATGCCTGCCTGCCCCTGATAGAGGGTGGAGGAGCCAAGTGGCTTCAACCGCAGGGTCGCAGGGCCATTCAGAAACTCATATTTGTCCAAGCATGCCCTTCTTTGCAGATTCGCCAAACCCATTGCTCGCTGCATGCATTTGAATTGGAATTGTGTAAAGTGCCACTGCCATACTTTGGACAGAGTTTGAAGGCAGCTAGACACTGCCACTGAGGTTGAGGCACAGGTACAAGCTTCATCCAACGAGAAGGCGAGTGCCAATGCAGAGCATAGGAAACTTTTGAGAGGCTAGAATGTATCCCAAGTACTCCCAACAGTACTCCAACAATTGCATTCCCAGCCACTGACCAACAATGGTGAAGAGATTGTAGAAACAGCAGGGGTTCAACTGAACATGGTCCCAGTTGCTTTCCTCAGTGTTTGGGCATATTGCTGCTTTTGTTTTGAGCTCGAACTCTAGAGCTTCACAGAGTTCATTGAACTGATGCCTGATTTTGCATTATTGATGCTTGAGCTGCATGCAGTTTGCAATATTGCCATTTACATGCAGCCAGCCTACTATTATCGACTCACTGTTGGCAAAAGAGGCTCACTTGATAGCTTCTCTTGCCTCCTGTCCAATTGCAGCGGACTCCTCCTTGCTTTTCCCGGCAGCCAAGGCTGCAGACTCTTGGCGAAGGGCGTAGGCATCAGATTCCTGCCATTAAAAACGACACCATCAGGCATGCGGTGACGCCAACCGTCTTGGGCAACCCTGCCACTCATGGGCAAAAAAGACACTAGGTGCTCACTTTCGCTGCTATCTCTGCAATCAGGTCCTCCACACTCTGGCCAGGCTTCGGTTGTTTGATTAGTATTTTTAGTGACAGGTCTAGATCTGCGGGTAGGCCATGCCCCGATTCTGTTCAGCAACAACAAAAGAAACTGTGTCAGAGAAAGCCTACAGCAGCCAGACACTTTTCTTTGTGACAGGTAGCAGATTTCGTCAACCATGGCCAACAATTACGCCTCAAGGAAAATGGTGGGGCAAGATCGAGACGCACAGCTCGTTCGTCCCAGCTGCCCCTTGACTAACGGATAAAATCATGAAGAGGAGCGCTCCAGCACCCAAGGGACTTGCAGCTAGTCAAACGGACTCACACCCTCTCCTGAACCAATTCCCTTAAGAATATGCGGCCAGCTCCGAACCAGCATCCGCAAGTCTCCAAATGCACAAGAAGCATCAGGCGACCACGACAAGGCTCCAAGACAAGCTCACCCTCTGAACAGATGCCCAATCACCGCCATCTGAAGCAATCTGCTCCCGTTCCCAGCGACGCACAGAAAGAACGTTTCTTGGCGACAATTTCGGTTGCGCCGCTTTCCCAGGGCTGCGCACGACTCGAAAGACGCCCCCAGGCGCCCGCTCTCACCATGGAACTCCGTCACGGGTACGTCGCCGTCCAGCGCGGCTTGGGACACGCAGCGCGGCCCAATGAGGCTCGAGCACCGGTACCCATCCGGCAGGCCGTACCGGTCGGACAGTGTGCGGTGGTTCTGCAGGGCCAGGGAGTCGTGCGGGAACTGGACGTGCGCGATGTTGTGCAGCGCCTCCGGGGGGACGCTGGCCACAGCGCACGCCAGGAAGAAGAGGGCGGCCGCGAGCGGGCGTGCTAGGGGCAGGCGGCCAGGCGACCGGAACATTGGGCGGCGGGTCCCGCTGCGTGTCGCGCCTGAAACTGGCCGGCGGTGTCCGGGAGCGGGTGGGAATGGCCTGCGGGAGAGCTCGGCGGAGCTAAAGTGTGTGCTGGGCTGGGTGGTACTTTGGAGGTGCACCGCTGTCACCTTCCGCCCTGCTTCTGGTCATTGTTCGGCACAAGTGCATGCAGAACTAGCTAGTACTTTGAGGATGCCTTTGCGCAGGCTTGATATTTACAGCGTAAACAAGGATTGTATTGTATTTACGACGGGGAAAATGACAAAAGGGGGTCCTTTGTGAGTTGTTTTGATAGCAGGGGTTCCTATGTGACGTAAGGGGTCCTCTAACCGCCCCTTATACATTAGTCGTGTTGCCAAACCGGCGCCAATCAACAAGCCAGTCCTACTGGGGCGACCCCACAGAGGAACCCCTTTTGTCAAATGCACCCCTGCAGAGGACCCCTTTGCCAATTTTTCTCTTAAAGGTTGTTAAAATTCCCGGGAAAAGACCAATGATGTAAAGTAAGAAATAATGGCATAAGGAGATATGATGTTTGCCTTCAGACTGATCATAATGCTCAGATTGTCCTTGCCCCAAGGATACCTTGCCCCAAAGCCTTTTAACCGCACCCAGAAAGTATGCCAGTGAGAAAAATTGGGAAGTGTTTAATGTAATCGCTAAGGCCGTTTAATCTATGCAGTAATTGGGCGGTAAATGAGCGATTACATCTGTTAGACATTCAATTGTCTGTGCACTGCTCCCTCCCTATGCGCGCGACCTCCTCGGGTGAACGTGGTTGGCAGTTGTGAGTTTGCAAGGAAGCGCGCGACCCCACGACCCTGTCCCATAGCCATGGCCCAGCAAGGCGACCGAACCAGAAGAGTTCCAGAGGCCGATTGGGTGTTGGCCGGAGAAGCGGGAACGAGTGGCCAAACTGCGCAGATGGATAGGATGATGGGGACGTTGGAAATGAAGGAGCTTGCACAAAAGGTGGAGCAAAACGTGCAGAGCTTGTAGCGTGTTGAAGACAAGCTCAACGCGGTTGTGAAATTGTTGGGGACAAGTGCATTGGGTGGTCGAAGGGGGATGGAAAGCCCTGAGGGAGAAGGTTGAACGTTGCCATTTACTCAGGCGATATCTGAAGTTGGGATTGGGGAGCTGTTTTCATTACCCCGGGAGGAGGGAACCCGCGTGCCTAGGTCGGCCACAGCTGGAGCTGCCATGGCTGTGCGGGTGGCCTTGCAGAAGATTCCTAAGGAGGGAAGCGACATGCGACCTGGAGGTTCAAGTGAATTGTGCGGCGCGATTGAACTGATGGGGGACTCATTGAAAGATTGCCTCGTGGCGTGAGGCCATGTAGTGTTGGAAAGCGGCAGGGTGTCGCGAGTTGAAATGGGGGGCGTCGAGAGGTTCGGGGGGGTCCGATTGATCAATGACTAGCGGATCGGGCAGGGCGCGTGGGATGTGATTGGGCGCGAGCACGGGCGCCGGTCAACCACCCATTTTGTAGCAGGTTTGTATGTCAGTCTGGGGGCAAACGGGGGCTTTTTTGTTTTTGATAAAGTTCAAAACGTCTAGGTGTATGCCTTTGGGCCCCCAGATCCTATAGATAGATTCGTGCGATTGCCACTAGCTTCCGAGAAGCAGGCTGGTTTGGAATACCAGCGGGAATATTTGTGAATAGATGGTGGACAATCTAGGGGTTTAAATGAAGGACTAGCTAGTCAGGGGTTGCGATTGTATGGTGTAAGCACCCTAGGCCATGAGCAGAGAAGCTGCGCTCATGTGCAAAGTCTTTAGAAGAGGGGGAGTCAGAGCTGGGCCCGGCCAAATGGCATAGGAACGGGAATGGGAACGGTGTCCGTCCCTGTCCTAGGAACGGACCCGTCCCTGTTCCCGTCCCAGTCCGTCCCAGTCTGTTTCAGTCCGTTCCTGGGCCATTCCTCAGGAACGGATTTGGGCCGGATCTGGGCCAGGCCGGAACGGAGTTGGAACGGTTCCGTTCTTGCCCAGGGACGGGTCCGTCCCGGCTCAGGAATGGCCCCGTTCCTGACATGGAACGGCCCCGTCCTTGTCCGTTCAGGTCCGTTCCTGTCCGTTCCCCAGGAACGGACCATGCAAATTGGAGGTCTTACGAGTTTGGGGGGGCACTGGCGGACCAGTGCAAGTTGCGGAGGTATTCATAAGGCCGGATTCAGGGCCATGAGGCACATTTTCACAGGGACACCTGACTTGCAGCAAAGGCAACATGCACATTGCCCAATGTACAAGCTAGACATATAGCCAAATTTAAAACAAGTCACACACTGAGCCATAGGCCAATTCGAGACAAGCCAATAGAACCCGGAAAATTACAACTTGTAATTTACAAGTCGGTGTTGCCGGACAAAAACGTCAGCTGCTCAATGCGTTCGTCCCCCAGAGATGCCCGCCAAGATCGCACAGTATGGCCGGATACCGAGAAGCCCCGTTCTGATGAACCACTTCCGGCCAGTACACACAATGAGTGCCGGGCCACCCACGCCACTATGGGCCATCGAGCACTATTCTGTGCCCAATAATCTAGTGCATCCTCCTCTCGTGGGGTACCCGGCTCACACAAATTCCAACGTTCCATTAAGAACTCCTGAACGTGTCGCGCGATCAACCGTTGTGTGGCATCCGTTAGTTCGCAGCCCACTGTACTGCCTGCAGGTTGGCTAGGCCCCGCGGCACCGCTTGCCCTTGGGCCCCGTTGCCATGTTGCATCATAATCCTCCTCGGAGCTAGTGTCAAACGTCTTATACCCCATGCGCTTCTCCCTCGGCTTGCGCACGGGCCGCTGTTCAGGATGGGGTGGCAGGCCTGCTTGCCCCGATGCCTTTGACCACCCAATATCCTTCGCGAATTTAAGATATAACTCCAGCAGCTCAGCCGACATGTCATCCATCACGGCATCCACCGACACGAACTTCTCCCTGATGGGTTCCAGTACCTTTATGTAGGACCCCAGGGTAGCCTTCCAGGCGTACACTGCACAAACACCATGCAATTCATCAGCACTACTTCTGTCCTTTTATATGTATTTTTGAATATGTGAACGACACCACAGTGAGAAACAATGCACAACACCAACAACACGATCACTGAGCGATTAGCAACGATCACCCACCGGTGGGGTCCATCAAAGCCAAAAAGGCCATTTGCCAGACCCATGTAGAGTTGCTGAGGGCCTCTTCTAGTTTATAGGCCATATCACTGCAGAATGGCACCAACCCACTGTATGGCCCCTTATTGTCTACGCCGCCCATTTTGTAAAGGAAACGCCGGAGGTGCATCAGCTTGGTGAGAGCCTTGGAGCCCGTGGGGTATGCCTCCGCCTCCAGCCTCTTACAGCACCTCTTGATAGATACCAAGATTGGGAGGAGGGCCTCCAGGTAGCCCCATTGTGTAATCTCGATGGGATTATCGTATTCGGGGTGCAGCCCAAGCCATCTATCGATGGCCTTCCTCAGGCGCACAACCCTTTGCAACATAAAAAATGTACTATTCCATCGAGTTTCCACAGACCTCACCAGCTGGAGTATCCTCCATAGGTTGGGCCTCCTGCCACCTTCAACCGACTCATCGGAGGGCACCTCTGATGCAGACACCCCCTCCTCATCACTAGAAACTACATTATTACCCTCCCTTATTATTTCCACTTGCGGCCTTAGCAGCTCAGCTGTGACTTTCGCGCTGGCACGCATGTGGTTCACCAGCGAGGAGACCTTGCCATCGTAAGGACATATACACACTGTTGATGAAACAATTCCGAAGCAGCAGCAGCTGCAGCAGTTGCAGCACACACAAATAACCACCAACATATATGCACGCACAGCAACACACACACACCAAGACACACCAGCATCATAACTTACCGGTCTATTGCACTGCAGAGCTTCTGGCAGCCTTCGGTATGGGTGGCGTGGACGCGTAGGTTGGCCAGGCCATGGGTCACGACGTTGTGGAGCATGTGGCAGGCACAGCGTGACCAATCTGCCATGCCGCCTCTAGGTTGCTCCCCAACCTCATGTGCTGCCAGCTCCCCCCTAATAGCCTGCCTGATGTTGCTCCCAGCGTCCGTGACAAAGGACGGCCACCAGCCGGTCATCCCATACTTCTCCAGCTCCTTGCGGGCCAGGTCCACCACCACTGCATACACAAACACATTGTGACAAGCAACAAACCACTCGACCAGCTGGTACTTGGGCAGTCACTGCTGCCCATTCACCCCATCATCCCATACTTCTCCAGCTCCTTGCGGGCCAGGTCCACCACCACTGCATACAAAAACTGCTTGCGACAAGCAACAAAGGCGAATATCACAAATAACAAACAACACGACCAGCTGCCAGTTGGGTAGTCACTGCTACCCATTCGCTGCACAGCCTCTCACCTTCAGCCGTGATGCTCTCCGCCTCCACAGGCACTGACCCCATGCACCTGCTCCGCAACCGCCACTGGCGGTTGGCATGGCCGTCATGCTGGTGCGTCTCCTCCACCCAGTGCATGGTCATTAAAAAATACTCTCGCCGCGTGCGAGAGCGCCAAAGGTCGCAGGTGAAGGCTGGCCGCACCTTATTCCACTCCTCCATCCCCCGGAGCTTCTGCACCGCCTGGCGGTGCATGGATGCCACCTGCCATAACAACAAAGACACTATTTTTAGGCTGACAACCAACACAGTTGTGTGTTGCGGACTGTATCACATGGACACCATGGGACAACAGAACATATTGCACACAATGCATGCGACGACGTGGTAACAGCGGACCTCGTTGGTGACGGCCTTCCGGCTGAAGGAGGGGCAGCGGCCGTTGAGTGCCTTGCACATGCGGCGGAAGTTTGGAGACTCAACAACGGATAGTTGAATGCTATCCGCTGCGATCCAGCGGGTGATCGCTGACCGCATTTGCTGCCACGGGGCGGTTCCTGTGGCAAAGGCCTCCTGCTGCATGTAATGTGCCACTCCCACCTCACGGCCCT